GGGTGGGTCAGTGTGGGGGTTGGGGGATGGGTGCCGAGACCAAGCAGACGTGACGAGGCACAGACGCGGAGCGAACGCTGAGTCACGATGGCTTCAAACCACGGGATCAACAAGGCGGAGGAAATCCGCGGAAGTTACCCACCACCACCACCACATTGTTGAACTGTCGCCTCCGTCTGATTAGTTTTGTGGTTGTTGCGAAAACACCCGTCGCTCCTTTCTACGATATTATTCCATTTATATTCATCATGCTCAGGAACCTTCGTCTGGACTGCTCGGTGTCGGACATCGTATACAGTATAAATAGGTCGATTGAAATATAAAACTGGCGGGGCGGCTTTCGCGGATTTCCTTTTGCGTTCAAGCGGCACGCGCTGTGAACTCGTGGACTTTCCGTGGCGCAGAGCGAGTCTGAGAATGTACACGATGTGAGAACGGCTCACGGCCCCGAGTCGCATTTAACGAGGCTGGTTAACGCGTGAGTCTCTGACGGTGTTTAATGATTCGCCACTTTTTAATCCGCAGGAACATTATGTGACTGCCGGTCTCGACACTTCGTGCGGTTTAACCGTGCGAGCTGAATCCGTATCTAAGGAGGTGTTGTCACTGTCGAGGTTCCTACATTTATTTGTTTCCGTGAATAATCTTCGGACACGATCAAGTCTACTGCTGGATGAAAGCCTCGCCAAGTCGTGGCCACCCCTCGCGATCCTGTGGTTTTAATAATCCACCCAGCACACGAGTTGGGCCCTCCCATTGCCTCGCCGTCACTTTTATTCTTTACCATAACCCTAAGCCTACACGTGTCACCCTCCGAACACACAATATAAACGAGCTTTGTCCAACGTAGCTTTCACTATCCGCATTATAATCAGAGTAATGCCACCTGCTGAAAAGGCACACATAGGATCATTAGAAACCAGTGGGGTGTCCATAAAGCCGAATCTATTCTATTTCGAAAGCAAAAATAAAAACGGTGTACATATTCCTCAATAACACCCCCTTAAAAAGGTATATTTATAATAGGTGACGTTTTAGGCAATGCCGCTTCTTGAAAATGCATGCAGAGGCCAAAGAGGTATAGTGGATATAAGTTCAATATTGATTTGAAACTTTCGTGACTGCGGGAATCCATACTCTTTGGTTCTTTCGGTAAAATAATAGATCTATTATTTTTTCTACCTACAAGACTTTACCGAAAGAACCAAAGAGTATATATGGATATAAGTTGGAGAGAGAACATTCCAGTCCTTTGTAATAATGAAATACGGTACGTAATTATTTGACAACATCCCTGAATATCAGTTACCAAAATCGGTTATTAATCAAAATCAGTTTTACATTGGCAATTGCCCGAGACGTCCGACAATACTAATCACCTTCAACCCACCGCTGTAAGTAACAACTTCAAGCCATCTCCCAATACACCCCCAGGGGAAGTGGCAGCCAAGGAATGGAATGTGTCCGATCGAGAAGATATCCACCCCTTACGATGGAATCAGCTCGTGTGCAGTAGCTACTGCTGCTGATAGTAAACCTATTAAACTCAAACATAAGCTATTTGATTTACCAGGTAAAGGCCATTGAGCTATTAGTTCCTTCTCAGAGGCAACCTGGTCCACACATGATGATAGCTTATCGAATTGGCCGATATGATCACGTGTGCAAAAGTTCGAGTAGTGGCCAAATCATCTTGAATAACCAGGCGAGGGAGACCATGACATTACCACCGTGGTGCTCCAACTGTTATATCACAGGATTGTTAGAAGTGGCCACAGCTGCGATTTAGGATGAAGTTTTCATCCAGCAGTGGATTAACCATATTAAGTAGCTGCTTCTGATGATGATGATGAATCCGCAGATTGACGGATCTCGCAAACGCTACAAGCTTGTGTGTGTTGTTTACCACGCTCGCAGTAATTTCACACGCGCCACTCACTCCAGTCTGGGGTTACCCACCACGTCTTTCTCGTGACAGACATTCACCATCATCGCGTCGGCGACGATGGCACGCGGCACCGACCGCAGTGCAGGCCACCGCGTTGTAGAAAGAGGGCCTCATCCTGCGCAAAAGGTTATGTCGGCGTCCCCACGAGAGTTCCTTGGAAGGGCGCCGTTCGAACTCCACTCTTTACCTGGATGGATGATGGCGCAGGGAGTGGCGTCCATGATATTCTTGCAAATGTGGCCAAACACAGCGAGACAGATGCGTCTCGAGCCGGAGGATGATGCCATCGTCGATGGCAACAAGTATTTTTGTGCGTTCCCGTAATGCTGCACATGGGGAAGGAATTCGTGATTCGTGCGGATTGCGACACGCCGTTTCAAAATGCGGTTGGGGGGGGGGGGGAAGTAATGAATGCAGACATAATAAAAGGCTCTGATTAAAATGTACAGATGTTGACGGTCTGTCTTTGTTCAATACAGCATGTACATATCAATCGATTCCAGATCCCGCTGGGCGGTCGGACAATGAACACAACAATGAATAATTTACACTCCTAAAACGCCTTTCATCCGGAGGTCACAAGGCGCTGTGTACAGATGCCACCATAAAAAAAAAATATAATGAAGTGGCCGTTAACGAGATAGCAGTGTAAAAAGTGGCATCAACAACGTCGCGTATCCTACCGTCATATAATCCGCCCTGGCCAACGACAACAGTGCCCACACTCAACCGAAGTTTATGCGTGCACGTTGTACACCGTAACTTTCTCTCGATGCTCACATATTTTTTGCTCGCATATGCTCACATCGCCGAACTTTCACACATCCGCCTACAACATCGGGGCATGCCGAGTCGGCTATGTGGTCGTTAGTCATCGATTTAAGTCCGAAACCGGAGGACTTCTTCACAATGCCGGCTTATCGCCTGATGAAGCTGGTTGTAATCTTCTTGGTTCTTTCGGTAAAGTCACGTAGAAGGGAAATAATGAAATAATAAAAATGAAACAGAATCAAATACAATTCTCACGACGTTTCGGCCACAACGCAAGCAGCTGCGTTGTGGCCGAAACGTCGTGAGAATTGTATTTTATTATGTTTTATTTGTACTATTTCCCTTCTACGTGACTTTACCGAAAGAACCAAGAAGATGAATCCCTGCAGTCACGAAAGCTTTAAATCGAAATTTAACTGGTTGTAATCACCAACGATACGTCGTAATACGCGAATTTGCAAATGTCGTGGGTTTACCCTCCAACACACCGGTGTGCTGAAGTAGTAACTAACAGGCACGTTTGGTTGACGTGACAAGCCACATTCATTGGCTATGCCGGGTGGTGGCGGGTTTAACGACACATTCACATTTACGCGATCTCACCCCCCCCCCCCCCCGAAACAACCCTTGTTTCATTATGAGATACGTTGGTCTTCATTTTTTTCAGACGCTGTCTCCCCGACAGACCTGGTCTTCACCTGAGGACGGCTGCTTGCGTTGTGGCCGAAACGTCGTGAGAATGATCTTATAATGTTTTATTTGATTATTCTATTATTTCCATTCTACGTGACTTTACCGAAAGAACCAAGAAGACGTTGGTCTTCGTTGTTGTTTCCCTCGTAGCAGAGAAAAACGCGGCCACTGTGAATCGCGGTTCTTTGTTCAGCTGAGTCAGAGTGAGGGCGAGTGGTGGGGGCGGGGGGGATGGGCTGCTGCTGGCTTGACTCAGCACGAATGTGCGAGGGGGGTGGTAGGGGAGGAATGGAGGGGGGTTGGAGGTGGGGGGGTGGTGGTCATACAGCAAACACGCCATTCCCTTTTAGTGCAGCGTCAGAAAACGACGTTACACAGCGTGGGGGATGGGGAGGGGAGGCGAATGGCAGTCGGTTAAAGAGGAGAAACGATGGAAGAAGAACGGGAGGGGGGGGGGGAGGTGGAGGCGCTGGTGAGTTCGGCGTTCATCACGTGCCGCTCACGAGACTCGCTGCCCTCGTCCAAGTTATGACTCGGCACAAACAAAAAAATCCCTTCCCCCATTTGTCGTCGTGCGTGTTGAGCGAACGCGCGGATGCGGTTCGGGCCGCCTCCCAACCGCGACTTGTGCTGTGGTGGTCGGGGTTTCGGGATGGGTTTGCGTGGGTGCGTGTGCGTGCGTGCACGCGTGCGTGCACGTGTGCGTGCGTGCACGTGTGCGTACGTGTGCGTGCGTGCGCGTGTACGTGTGCGTGCGCGTGTACGTGCGTGCGTGTGCGTGCGCGTGCGTGCATGTGTGTGTGCGTGCGCGTGTGTGCATGTGTGCGTGCGTGTGTGTGTGCGCGTGTACGTGTGCGTGCGCGTGTACGTGCGTGCGTGCACGTGTGCGTACGTGTGCGTGCGCGTGTACGTGTGCGTGCGCGTGTGTGCATGTGTGCGTGCATGTGTGTGTGTGCGCGTGCGCGTGTACGTGCGCGTCAGTGCGCGTGTACGTGCGTACGTGTACGTGCGTGTATGTCGGAGATTCGATTGCATCTCTTCTCTGACTGGGGAGGGAGGGAGGTTGAGCAGGAGAGATAGGGGAGGGAGGGGTAAGGGAGTGTCAGGGTTTCAGGCAAGGAGTGTGAGAGTAATGGGAGTGAGTGAGTGGAGCGAACGAGTAAAGGAGTGAGCGAGAGATGGGAACGAGTGAAGGGAGTGGATGGATTCAGGGGGAGGGAGTGCAAAAGCGTCTGGGAGCGAGCAAGGGAGCGGAGCGAGGGAGAGTAGAGAGTGGAGGGAAAGGCAGTGGAGGGAGTTAAAGGGGGGAGGGTGAAAGTAAGGGAGTGGAGCGAGGGAGAGTAGAGAGTGGAGGGCAAGGCAGTGGAGGGAGTGAAGGAGGGAGGGTGGAGCGAGGGAGGGAAGGAGCGAGAAGAGGGGTGGGAGTCGAGGGAGGGGGATGACGAAGGGGGGTGAGAGGGGAGGGGGGTGGATGAGGGGTGGGGGTAGAGAGAAAACCACGCTGTGGTGGTGGGGCGTGGACGGGAGGGATGGGAGGGGGGGTGACAGGGTATATAAGCAATCGCGCATCGCCAAGGCTCCAGTGCTGTGGTGGAGGCTGAGTTTGGTGTAAGAGCAGCGCAGAGGGGCAGCTCAGACCGCACGCTACAACTCTCACGCCGGCTCTCCGTGATCCCGCGACTACTACAACTACATCACCATCATCATCACGTACACAATCCAACAACAACATCGTCATCATGCCTGCCAACGACAGTCAAGACGTGTCCGTGCAGCATGCTGCCCAGCACGGGAAGACGCTCGGTCTTGGGTGAGGATCCTCTCTCTTTTTTTTATATTACGATCAGTGGAAACAAGAAGATGCTCGGTGTATTCGGCACTTTGCTTCGTTCATCATTTCGCAATTTTTTTATTTCTTAAAATTTTAAAACTTTTCTTTATGTAAACTCCCACCTCTCGCTCACTCTCTCTCTCCTCTCTCTCTCCTCCCTCTCTCTTGTGCAAAAGTAATTGATGACATTTTAATACCACGTCAGTTGGCAATCCTCAAACAACAAAAAAGCCCCCAAAGCGTTGACTTTTAAACGAACGTCCACGCTTTCCTCTCTCTCTCTACCGCATTAGCAGCGTGTGGGTGAGGAGCGGTGGCGCAACGGTGAGCGCACTGCTCCTCGTGACTCGGCCATCTGTCGGTCTCTTGCTGTGAATGAAAGAACGAAGGGCCGTTGCCCGAAACGTCGCGTATTATGAGTTTGTGTATCAGGGCAGTGCTGTTGAGCAGTGTGTTGAGTTGTTTCCCCTCTGTTATTTGTGCCGGCGATCTGAGTTTGATTTTCCGACCACGGCTAACGTCAGCGGCGAGTGATAACAGAAACATTTCAGACCTCCACCCCCCCTCTCCCTGCCCCCATTTGTTGCCCACGCACTGACCACACCAGCTTCTATGTATGTATGTTGAACTTCTTTCGCACCGTACGTAGCCAACCGTACTGATCGAAGGTGCCCGGGGTAGGACAACAAACTAAACACACAAAGCAGTTCTAAAGAAATGTGTTTTAGTCTAGAGTTAAAAGTGCACGGAAGGAAAAAAACTGCGCTTGCTTGATGAAGAATGGTAAAAAGAAAAATATCCCTCGTATAGCCTTGACAGAATGTTGGGGCAATTGTAACGCACAAAATAACCTGCATGGCCTGGGGAAGGCCTTTATCCATTCGTGGATCGAGAATGGTTGGAACGTATTTGTTTAAATATCAGTAATGAAATACTGATTGCCGATAGTTGTTGTTGCATGCTGGACTGCAGTCATAACATGAGCTGTGATTGTACAACAATACACGTTCATTTATATCTCGCCTGTAACGTAACAGATGTCCCCAAATGCAGTTCTGTATTTAGAGCTTTGGTATGGGGGGTGGGGGGACCCTCATGGGAGCTGTCCCTGTGCGGCGACACGAGGTGGAAGTTGGGCAGTTTTAAGTCTGACACGAGGGGGCGACGTTGCCATTCATTGTGTTTTTACAATGACCCCCCCCCCCACTCACCATTGAGGGTAAACAAAAAACACACAGTGCGCAATTTCACAATTACCGTGAGCCAATGCTTCAAAAGATGTATTGGACAATGGCTCTCCCCCACATGGCCCGTAACGTAAACAAAAATGGACTTGATAAGCCACTTCTTTTTTTTGAGCTATCGTCTGTGGCCAGGTCGCTTCTGCCAAAAGAAAAGAGCTACAGTTTCTAGGCACAGCGGATCTCGCCTGGTGAAATAAGAAATATAAAAAACAATTGTAATGTCCGCAGTGAAGCAGACGACGGCGCCTAGTTTAATGGTTAATGATAAGCGAATGTTAATAAGGGTGTACACCGTGACACGCTGGACTGTGGAACAGCCGTTTCAGATGGTGCGTTTTGTAAGGTAGCTGAGACCGGATGAGGTTTGTGTGGAACGTTTATGTTGTTCGCTGCTAAAAATAGGCTGCTTAAATCAATATGCGACACGGTAAACAAAAAACCTCTCTTGGCTTCTGCTTCGAAGGTAAATTGTCCAAACACGTCTCAGTTGTGTTTTATTATCTGTGTGCGTGCCCTTTAATGCCACCGTGGGTTATTGTCCGAACGCGTTCCGTTGAGTTTTCAGCTTCATTGTGTATGTTTTGTAGCTTAAGGAGGAAGCCATGGAACCCGGAGGAAACTCAAATATATCAGAGGGGGGGGGGGGAAGAACGTCCAAACTCGACGAGGAAAGGCACTCGAGTTGGGAGCAGAGGTTGCAACCGGGTACCCGATACCCGGCTACCCGTACCCGGCCCTGGTGCGGCCGGGTACGGGTACGGGTAAGGAATCAAAACCCGTTTGCGACCTCTGGTTGGGAGTCGAACCCAGACCCCGAAGTGTCTTGAAGATGTCAACGATAAAGGAGTCATTAATTCGTATTCGGTCATTTTGCGTTGTGGGTGTCAATTACATGAAGGTGTTGTTGAAATGTGGTCATCTATCAGTTTGATTGCACTGTGGAACAAACATTTATTTTGGGTAGTGTTATTTCCTAATTGCGTATGCCTCAAAAGTACATAAAATGGCTATTATTGCCCACAAACTTTGCTTTTGTGACCAGGACAGTGATATTTTGAAATATACCTATTTTCAAGGAGTTAACGTGGTGTGCATTTGTGTATTTCGTTCACATAAAGTCCTGGTCACAAAAGCAAAGTTTGTTGGGATAATATCAATTTTCTATACTTTTTAGGCATAAGCAATTAAAAAAATAACACTTAGTACCCAGGAAAAAAAATTGTGTGACGTAGTGTTATTCGCAGTATGCACAAAATTTAAAAGGAAGAAAAAAACACTTTTGGCTTGTTAAACTAAAAAAGTAAAAATGCCTTCACTGTGCCGATGGTCAGCGTGGGTTGGCGAAATGGGGTGATCTGGTGACCGGTTCGCATGTCACGGGCCAACCGCGTTAGCCATGCCCAGGAGTTAAATCGTGTTTCTTCTTGACAAACGTTTTTCAATTTTTGTTGTCAAAGGCATTGCCTTGTCTCTCGGTCTCTGTTACACCGTGGGCTTGGCTGAACGTGGAAACCGATGCTTTTCATGTGAAATATTGGAGAAAAACTTGATTACATGGTGGTGTTCCGTGCAGCCCAAAGCGATACAAAACAAATAGTTACACTCCACACATAGGCAGCTGGACAGACATCCGTTTGTCTTGTTTAAAATAAAATGTCAAATCATTCCGCAAAGGGAAAACCTCACCGAGTCTAAAGACGATGCCCTTTCAGGAGAGTGCTGCGTTGGGATGATTGTGGCCAGTTCTGTTAACGAGTGGGATTCTTTGTGTTTGTCCTCATCTGCACCCGGGAGACAAACCCCACCACGCACACACACACACGTGCACGAGGGGGGGGGGGCGAACACCTCAGCACTGCCATCTCCTGGTCACCTCGCACGCGCCCACTCCTACGACTCGTGGCAAGCCGTGGACAAGTTACCCGCGTGCGAACTAAACCTGGCAAGCGGCCGACGGTCGGTCCCAGCATCGTTTGGTGAATTCAAGGGTCACTTCTGGAGTCATCGGTTCAAGGTTCGAACCGAGGGTCCAGTTGCTCGATTGAAGGGGTCAGTTCGAGGGTTCGTCCCAGGTTCAGTCACTCAAGCTGGTACTATACTTGGCTGGCACTCAACCAGAACCCAAAAAACCTGCTCAGCTTCTGAGATCTGACGAAGATGGAGGGCATCGTTCGCGGCGCCGTTTCGTATGCGGTGCGTAATCATGTCTTGCTTCTGTTGTCTTGCAGCAATGAACTGTCTGACATGCTGAAGGTTGGGACCAAAGATTCCCACACATTGGCCGAGAACACCCACTTCGTCAAGGAGTTCTTGCAGGGCCGGATCCGCCGGGACCTCTTCGAGGTGAGCCGGTGGCGGGGAATTAGATGTGAGCTGCTTTTCAGGGCCATTGCAATCACTGTACAGGAATGACACCGTGATGCTAAATTCATGTGTTGTGAGGCTTTCAATTGGACACCCGAATGTTGGAAAGCGAATGCATTTGCTTTGATGTGAGGCCACGTGTGAATGGTGCCACGGTGGCGAGATGTGAACTACCTCGCCTGGTATACAGGAGGTCGTGGGTTCGATGCCGACTCTTATGCCCGCATGTTTGAAGCTTGTATGTTCTCCATGTGGTCGCGTGGGTTTTTCCCCGGGTCTTCCAGTTTTTCCCTCCACATTTAGAAACATGCGCTTAGAGTATTTGCTTGCTATACATTTCCACATGATAAGCCACTTTGTTCAGCTATAATTTGTGGCCTGGCAGCTACAAAGCTCAGTGGGCCTTACCTGTACAAATAAAAAAAAACATTTTGTTTGACCTTTGCCCGACAATAGCATCTCGGAGCACAGTTATGTTTGTTTTAATATTAGGGGGGCGGGGGTGGAGGATTGTGGGAGGGGGGGGGAGAAACTCCCTGATGATGACAGCTGTCCCTGCGCAATAAAACAAAATGGCTGGCTGTGTCTTTGCCTTCGCGCGGCCGTGTTGTCGCGCAGCACATGACGGTGGCGCTGTACCACGTGTACACGGCGCTGGAGGAGGAGATGGAGAGGAACAAGGGCCACGCCGCGTTCGCTCCGCTCCACTTTCCGCTCGAGCTCAGCCGCAAGGCCGCGCTCGAGAAGGACCTGCACTTCTTCTACGGCCCGCAGTGGCAGAAGAAGGCTGCCCGCTCCGACGCCGTCGACAGGTGCGTGCTCACCTTCGCCCCGGGGCCTCCCGCTTCTCGAAAACGCAACGGGCGCGCGCCTACGTGTCTTATTTCGCCTGCTTACGCAGACGCACGTACGTTTTATGGATGTATGTTGAACTTCTTTCGCACCGTGCTTAGCCAACCGCGCTGATCGGAGCTGCGGCGGGGGCGGGGGTAAGGACAATCAACTAAACACAAAAATCGGTGTAAGAGATGTTTGTTTTTAATCTAGATTTAAAAGTGCCATAGCTCCAGTGGCTTCGAATAACCGTTCAAGTAAAATTGTAATTTCAGTGTCAGCTGGAATAGTCACAGATGTTATATTCGAAGCGGCGCGAAAGAAGTTCAGCATACACACAGGCAGCAATGCTGCCTCGCCCGACGTCGCGCGTGAGTGACGCCTCTCGTCGGCCGGTCCCACCTGTCTGCAGGTACGTGGAGCGCATCCGGTGGATCGGGGAGCACGAGCCGGAGCTGCTGGTGGCCCACGCCTACACGCGCTACATGGGCGACCTCTCGGGTGGCCAGGTCCTCAAGAAGGTGGCGCAGCGTGCCCTGCACCTGCCCGCCAGCGGCGAGGGCCTCGAGTTCTACACCTTCGACAACGTCACCAACGCCGGCAAGTTCAAGCAGCTGTACCGCTCGCGCATGAACAGCCTGGAGCTGGACGCCAAGACCATGGGGCGTGTCGTGGAGGAGGCCAACAATGCTTTCCGGATGAACATGGAGGTGAGCAGCATTCACTTTGTGGGCGAAATCGGTGACGGAAATGTTTTAATTTTGATGTCGGCGATGACTGTGAGCGAATGGGAATTTTTTTTTAAAAATCGTCAGGCGTGTGACGGTGATGACGACGATTCCCCCCCCACCAAAGACCAAAGCGTGACCGACTCTTGACGAGCGAACAAGTTTGAATGAAGGTGCAGACGAAGGTGAATAATGTGGAAATGTCATACGAGGGTGTCCGAAAATGTAATTTTATTTCGCTCGTAACCTTTGTCAAAGCAAAGATGACGAGCAAAATAGAGAGAAGAAAATAACTTCAGGCCCACATCCGCCCATTCTCAGCTTTTCGGGGTGTACAGAGAGGAAAGTGAGCTTTTTCGATTTAAAGCTTTCGTGACTGCATGGATTCATATTGAAGAACAGGGCTGTCGGGAAGACAGCGTCCATTAGGACGCTGCTCTTCACCTGAGGACGGCTGCTTGCGTTGCGGCCGAAACGTCGTGAGAATTTTATCTTATTATGTTTTATTTTTATTATTTTATTATTTCCCTTCTACGTGACTTTACCGAAAGAACCAAGAATAGGAAAGTGAGCCCCTGGGACCCAGGCTCCATTATTTTTTTTATTATTTTGATGTAAGTGTCATCATGATGGAGCATGGGGCACCACTTTGAATTGAACGATGATTTTTTTTTTTTCAAATGAATCGTTGACATATATATCATGGAACCCCAAATGCTGTCTCTTCTTAAGGTGTTTAAAGAGCTCGATGCCATCAGAGAGCTAACGCCAGATGAGAAGAAGAGTGACTCCTCCAATGCAGCTCCACCACTTCTGAATGGTAAGTAACACGTGATGATGATCCAGTGACAATAAGCACAGCTTATGCGGACATATTGAGATATATATTTACAAAGCTACTCTTGTCCAAACCCATATGTTTAGAATAGAAGGTGAAGTTTCCCAACGGGATTTCACTTGGTTAACAAAGGCTGTTGTCGCTTGATGAATTCACTTAAGTTTCATGGTGCCGAGTATGGTGCCTTGTGCGTTTGTGTATGTTTTGTGTTTGCGTGGGGAGCGGTGGCACAGTGGTTAGCACGCTGCGCTACGAAACCGGCGACCCAAGTTCGATTCCCGCGAACGCACCCACCAACATCAGTTACTATTATTTCAACTGGTCCTGGGTCTACCCTAGGTCGACTCGGCCTCAAACGGTGCGGCGTGTAAACTGTCGGCACCAGGGAGTACCAATTCGTGTGGCGTGCCGACTTTGTATGTTGACCTTGATTACACCGCATCGTAGCCAACCACGCTGAATCGGAGGTGACTTTAATGCGTGCGCGCCAACTTAAAGTGGGTGCTCGTTAATGGAACTTGCCCCAGCAGAGAATATAATAGGGATCTTTGTTTTCGTTGTGCCGTCGATCCTGTGTGTGTCCAGGCATGTGCTCCTTCCACAAGGAGGCCACCCAGTCCCCCGGCGGGTCACTGATGTCTCGCGGGAACGTGGTGGCTGCGATCGCGTGCGCTGTCGCGGTCGCCGTCGTGTGCATCCAGTTTCTGATGTGAGACCCGCACGACGCTCGCAATGAGGATGGCTGCCTGGTGGTACGGGGGGAGGGGCGGGGGGAGGGATGGGGACTGAATCGACGGCGCAGGGAAACACGGTCATGAAAATGGATAGCAAGCAATTTGGAAGATCGTTTAAGGCCGCTTTGTCAGTACCACTGCCGGACAAAGGCTTTCCCGAGCTGTGTAGGCCATGGGGGGATGTTTGACCATACTTCACCGCATTGATGAGTGTGGGTTGAGTGAGCGAAGAATTGCCGGGGAGGCGTGAGGTGAGGTGGGGAGGGGCGGCAAAAACGGTTCAGATATTACTTGCATCACTCACAACCGATGTAAGCCGTGGCCTGGAATCAAACTCAGGTACCGGGGGTTGATATCACTGATAAGAGTTATGGTTTCCCATCGTAAAACTTGAGAAATAAAATCAGCATGTTAACTTTTAAGTATTTACTATGTCCACAAATAGCATTGTGCAATATTATGCCACATTTTGTAATGGCAATTAATCCGTACATTTCAGAAGAGGTGTGGAAAACACCTGTGGATTCTGTGTTTCTTCTTTAGACTCCGTGACGGAGACTTTTATAGGATTTTAAGCATCTTTGAAAAATAAGTACTAATTTTAAGGAATTTTTTAATGACATCACGTTACTTTATGTGCTAAATATTAAATACTGACCAACCTTTCTTAATACCTCAATCATCCTATTTTTGATCTCAGAATACAAGCAGTCGAATTTTTGGTGAAAATTGCTGAAAATTGCCCTACATATCCCTTAAAAGTATCAATATTTACTCTAAAATGCATGCCATACTGAAAAACTAAAAGTAGTTTTAAATTATTCGCAGTGACTGTCAACACTGGTTTGTAGATTAATTATAAGCCATAGGTATTTTATAATAGAGACAAATACTGTCTGGCATCTTACTTAACTATACGAGACCCGTACCATACCGGACATCTGTGAAAAAGAGCTTCATAGATCATCGGATTCCTCCAGTAGAAATTCAAACCAACGTAGAGCAGTGAGGCCCCAACCTGTGACCTGTGAACCACTGCTCATGGCCACGATGGTCCGGCAGTGGTTAGCGGAAACCTGTTGCATGATACGATGTTTTTCGATTTACCATGGAAAACATTATTTCCAGGGTTGATTCCTGTCTTTGGGTCTGGAAAAGTTGGGAATGACTTGTCACAGAGAGAGATGCAAGTGTAAGTTACTGACAACTGCAATGTGACATTTGATGTTATTCGAGTCTCTGTGAGTCGGCAGACGAGATAAACACTGTATGGGCCCTACCTGCACTAATGTTCACGTGACAGGAAATGGTCAATCGATTAATTGTGCCGAAATATTTCGTTCAAGCATCCCGAACACAGCGTATAGACGGCAGTAGCCTTTGGCATAAACTCTCATGGACTTCCTTCCACTTGAGTTACTGCATGTCTCGAGGTACCAAAGAATTGCAACAATTGCAACAATCAGACACCATCGTTCAAGCATACCACTACTTCTGCAAATCATTGTTAGCTGTTATATTACTGTACTATTTTACCAATAGGTGCAATGCGTCTGTGTTACAGACACTAAAGGCCGAATTCTTGTGTAGGCAGGAAGCATTCCAACAAATGTATTGGATGAAAATAGAGAGTATTTAGAAAATAACATTGCATTGAGTACCTTTGAATTAGGCACAGTTTTTGGAAATCCACTGCTGGATGAAAGCCTCCCAACACCACACCGTTTATGGGGTTTCTTTGTCTATATTTCGCCATGCTGGTCAGTGTGTGCTTGCGAATTGGGGTGGGGGGGGGCTGGTGAAAATATTCTGCCAACGCAATCGTAAAGCCCTTTTGTGTTAAATGTGTTGCTTTGTGTTTCATTTATAAAAATGTCTAACTGTGATGCCCTTTATGTCATTCTCATCGAAACAATAACTAATTTGCACAATTCAGGGTTGAATTTTCGATTTGTTTTCATCAACATAAATATACAATCTTTCTTATTAGTGGGTAACACTTTAAATATTTGATGCTATTGCACAATTACATTTGTTTAAACGTATTGAAATATGCAAGTGGAATTGCCACACATGCTTGAGCTAGTTTGTTTATTTTGCATTGCATTTCACTGCTATTTAAGGTAACATTTAAATCGATTAGATTTAATAGGCATGATAGAAATGACATTTTGACCATAAGGTTGCATCATTAAAATGATCCGGTGTAACGTTTCGAATACGTGAATAATTTAAGCAATGGTGACCGCACGCGATGCCACAGAAGTGATGTCACGTCTGCTGTCATCACATTTTCGGATCGATACTGAATTCTTTTTCCGGATCATCCAAATGACACATTCCCAGTAGACCCTATGACGCGAAGCTACTCTGTTTATTTGTGTTGGTATGTGTTTGCAAATAAGTTTAACTGTGAAATTTGCATTAAACCTCAGGTGGGGACAGATGTAATTATTACCAAGTTTTCATATTCTTAGGTTTTTTCGGTAAAGTCACGTAGGTAAAACATTAAAATTAATAAAAGTAAAATAAAATAAAAATCACGACGTTTCGGAGGCAACACAAGCTTCCGTCTTCAGGTGGAACCGTCACAGCCACGACAGCTGTATCAAGTAACGGTTCCACCTGAAGACGGAAGCTTGTTTTGCCTCCGAAACGTCGTGATTTTTATTTTATTTTACTTTTATTAATTTTAATGTTTTACCTACGTGACTTTACCGAGAAAAAAACCTAAGAATATGAATCCTTGCAGTCACGAAAGCTTAAAATCTAGAATTACCAAGTTTGTCACCTTTATGAAAGAAAAAATACGAAAAAACCCCCAGTGGCGTTATGAAACGCCACCTACTTTTACCTGCCACTTACATCAACGGTCCACATTGGGATGCTTTGGTGTTGTGTTCTGGGAATTGATTCCGTGGTGAAAATCCCAAAAAAAATATTTTTATTCTGGGAAGTTCCACAATCCTCTCTTAAATTTCATCCTGGTCTTGCCGGTCTTGCCGGCGAGTCCACTGAGCAAAGTGCTTTAGCCTTTCACACTCGGAGACGATGGTTTTGAGAACCGCCCGTGCCAGCCACACTTCAAATACCGCAGACTTCTGAAATCTATACAGAGGAAACCACCTGCGATGTTTTGTTGTATGTATGTGTGTGTTATGCTTGCTCATGCAAAAAATCTTCTTTTTTTTCTCTCGCCGCGTGTAACTCGAATGTGGGTTTCTTTCTTTCCGGGGCTTTATTGAGCATATCTTTATTCCAACTTTCACCATGCACTACTTGTAGGCACCAATTTAACTCTGAACCCTGAAGATGCCCGCAGCAGCAGTAGTGCACGCTGAAAGCTTGCGAGAATAAATTTTCGACACACAGCAGCTGAACCCGGATAAACACACTCGCATCGCCTTTAGATATTTGTAAATACCACGTGGATTAGATGAGGGTGAACTAGTGTTTCTTTTTTCACGGGTTATGTGAAATGTAGTTTTTTAATGATTTTTTTTATTAGTTAGGTGTCTGTGCATCACTGTTTCTGTTATACATGCACCATAATATACACATACCGAAATATCCTATGAATACAAAATAAGGAAATTCATTCACAAAATCAGGTATTTTCTTGTTTAATTGCACATTCGTATTTTTGATGTGGAAATGGTAGTCTTGCTTTAATTCGAGATGGTTCTTGTTTGTGAGATATCCCTCTGTAACGTCACTGATGGATGAATATATCCCCACAACACGCTGGTAACTGGTAACTTGACAACATTTAACAACGCTTATGAGAGTGGGGTGCTCCAAACAAGTTCAGATATCACTCCATAGAGATGTTAGCCATGGCTGGAAATCAAACTCAGGTTGCTGTGTTCATAGATTAGGACGCTAACCACTGCGCCACTGCTACACTTTCTTTCGTCGAAAATTAGTCACTGCAGTACGGTTTATGTTCTTTTGAGACCAGCAGATATTCCAAGATTTTTCAAGTCACAAATGGTGGCAATGAAGCTCAATAGTTGTCTTTTGTAACATACGTTATTATTTTTCTGCGTGAAATTTTTTTCATGTAAAAGCTCCAAGACGGTTTTAAAAATTATACTGACAACGGAAATGTTTTTACGATTTTATCTGCTTTTCATGTTGGTATTTCAAATGAATTTCTGCCTTGCAAAATCCAGCCCATGTTTGTATTTTTGGTACATCTGGTAGCGAACTTGCTCCCACCAAAGATCTAAGTGATAGGCTGGAAATTCTTAAACCCTTTTTTTACCACAATGGTTTTCAAAGCAGGAATAGCGCCCGAAGAAAACTAAAATGGAAAAACATTTATGGAGCGGCATGATTCTTTTGAAAATCAGTATGTGGTCAAGGGGTTTAAGACATCATCGGCCTACTGCTGAAATCAGTAGGGTTGGCAAGCATGTGCTTGGACGTTGTATTTTTTTCTTGCCATTATATGCCCAGGACCGGCCGTTGCATAAAGGTGGATCGGGCTAGGTTTAAACATTTGTGTGGTATAGTCCGGGTCTGACTTTGAGCCATTTCTGATTCTACCTTCTGATGCAGGTGCCATGATTATTAACTCGTGATGTTGATTCTTCAACAGTTGTGCACCGATTAAAAAACATTGCGCACGTGTTTCGTATCGCTCTCTTTCAATACTGTTTAATAACATGCACCAATGTTTGACGTTTATTTTTGTTTGTAATAAAAAAAAGTTTGATTAACATTGTACTTCAGTGCACTTATTGTTTCACCAGTTATGCCAACTGTGTCCTCAACATATATATTTGACAACAGAAGTGGCTCATTACCGTTAAGGCCCCCCCTCTTAGAGCCACTTGTTGTGAAACGCCTGTCATGGCCCATGGGCCTTACACTTGACACTCCTCTTACCGACGGACCTCTCATCTGTGGTGCCCTATTACCCATGGGAATTGTTTCGAAACGTGCGTTACATCACTCTGGCTCTTCCCATTATCTACGGGAATGTGAATTAGGGGAAGAACAGCAATTGCATTGTAGTTTTAGCAGAACGGAATACCCGTAAAGATGTGTAAACTCTCATGGATATCAATGGCTACGACCATTTCATCCTGAATGCTTCTGATATCGTCTGAGCTTGTGAAGGAAAGTGGTGTCGAGTCCTGGTTAGTACGTGGATGGGAGACTGCATGGGGATACCAGGTGTTGTTAGGATTTTGCCTTTTATGTCGGAAGGGGGAACTATTTACCCTACGTTTCAGACGCATAGAATGGAACTTTCATATATAAGTCTGTAGGGGGAGCACTGACAACTCGGTGTGAAGGTGACATTGGTGAATTCCAATTCTGAATCCCACCTAGTAAAGAGTTTGACCCTGAACAGGCAGTGCCCCCTACAGACATTGAAATGCCAATTCGGCTTCGTGCGTGTGAAACGTGGAGTAAATAGCGCCCCCTGGAGACACGGAAAGGCAAAAACTTTCAAAAAGCCTACAACACCTGGTATTCCCAGGCGGTCTCCCATCCAAGTACTAACCAGGCTCGACCCTGCTTAGCTTCCGAGATCGGACGAGATCGGGCGTATTCAGGGTGATATGGTCGTAGGCGATAGCTTAGAGGAGATTCAGTAAACTTATATCCAACGCCAATTCTTCCGGCTGATACGGCTGGTGATATTTTCACAGCGAATAAATGTTACCCACAAAACTCGTGATCACCACCAGCTACAGATCGTGACCCCAGAGCTCACTTCTGCCACTGTCAAGACCA